GTGTTAGACAGGCAACTAACATAAAACTTTGCTATAATTTTTTAGTACCTTTAAAATGAGTGTAGCTAAGATGAGGATGTTGAGGTAGATGAGTGACAAAATAAAAAGGGATAGAATTTGAAATGAATAAATTAGAGAGAATTTAGGTGTAGTACTAATAGGTGATAAGACGAGAGACAGTAAACTTAAATAGGCTGGCTATATGCAATGCAAACTCACTACAGAACTTATTAGGAGGTGCAAGTTAGATCAAGTATAAGGTTAAAAAAAAACAAGGGATAGGCCCAAAAAGACATATTTGAAAGTTATGAGAAAAGATATAGGAACTTATAGCCTCAATGAAGATATAGCCCTTAATAGAAGGGCATACTATAATTTGTATAGCCGATCCCAATTAATTGGTAAAGCCCTTTAATAATGATGATGAAGAATTGCGCCAGCTCAAGATTGAGAAATCTGAACAATCAAGAATATTTTGATAATTTAACCAAGCAAAAAATATTTGTATAATTTGGCTCAAAGGCAATTAAGTATTTTTAAACTTTTTTGGAGGTACCTAATTGAAATATATTTTATGTCTGGGAAAGTATAATGAGACCATTTACGTTTGGTACAAGATGGTCATAATTAATCCTGACCATTATGTACAATTGGGTGGGTTCATTTATTTCATTGACCAAGCTCAAAATTCAAAAGAAATCTTCTTGAACTTTGTGGCACACCCAAGCTATTGGTTTTCACATTGAATGTTTGTACGTAATTGTGATATTCCTAGACCAAAGGTAAATAGGCTCATTGTATACAAACCCTTTATGTATTAAGTAATTAGGTTTTTTAGGTGACCCTCTTTATTCATGCAACAAGATCCTTTTTATGTTCGATTTTGTCCTTTGATCTTTAAATTATTTAAGATTTGTCTTTTTTTCTACCTCTCTCTCCCTTAACCCGCCTCATGCCCGGGTATAGGGGTTGGGTTGTGTTAGGTAGCGAGCCAACGTAAAATTTTGTCAAAACTTATTATGAATCTTGAATATAGAGCAGAATGGCGGAACAGGATTCGTGTAGCACATCTCATTTAATTAAAAAAATGTAATAATGACAATGATAATGATGATTTATCCTAACACTTTATAGGATGTGAAATCTACGGGTGAGTTTTGTTATCACCAATATATAAATAAACAAAAAAACTGACATACCTTTAAAGTCCTTTAGAGATGTATATAGCACCATTAAGCATAAAGAATTCAGTATCAATACCTGCACAATAATAAACAAATAAAAATATATATGAGAATAAACAAATCAATAAACAAAAGTTCTAAAAGATATCAAACATAAATAAACAAAAATAATAATAAACAATGCATACTCTCTCTCTCTCCTCTACGTGTACGGGTGGACGACGGACACCACGAGGGGAACTTAGGGGA